GCGGCAGACAGAGACGCGCGAGGCAGAGAGGGGGAGGAGCGGGCGGAAACGCGGAGATCCAGCGCGCACCTTCAGAGCGAGCCACCACCGAGGGGTCGGGATCGAGGAACAGTCGCCCCCTGCCCGCCTCCTGTTAGGATGGAAAACACGCAGAGGCTGGGAGCAGGAGAGCGCAACTGGCAGCCCCGATAGGGGGAGGGGGGCAGGAGGTGCGGGTCGGCCCCGGTCTGGGGGTCACTCACCGCAGGCCGGGGCGGTACACAGCGGCCATGGCACCTGGGCAGGGGCTGCGGGGTGGCCACGGGAACCGAGCGGAGCCGGGGAGGTATGGAAGGTGGGGAGGGAGCGAGCACCGCGAAGCGAGCGGGAGCAGAGGCTGGACGGGAGGTGCTTAAAAAGGGGGCGGGCAGGCGCAGGGGCGGAACCTAGCAGGACCAGCGCGACCCTCTCTCCGCCCCGCCGGCTGGCCAACTCCCCCCGCCCCGGGGACTTCGGGCCCCAAGTCCGCTGAGCTGCAGCCCCAACCCTGCGTCCGAGCCCCCAAACTCTTCTCTCCCATTGGAGAGCCAGGTCGATCCTCCGCCCCCACCACGTCGAGGCCTCGCCCCCCGCCCTGCCTCGCAGCCTGCACATGATGTAACTTTGAGGACTCTTGCTCCCGGGAGATAGCGACTGAGAGACACTGGGTGGCAAACAAGCTAGGAGGGAGGGGGTGAGGGTGGGGCATGCTTTTCCAGTCCCTCCTGGGCTCTCAGAGCCCCAGGCTTTTCTGTTTTCCAAGGTTCCTATACTAAGTCCCCTTGGTCATCAACTCCTGAATCTGTTTCTTCTGCTCAGGGCTCCTTTCTGCCCTGCCATATAAAGATGAGGTCGCTACCCCAGAACCTCTTCCTTGGTCTTCTGATCTGGCTGTTCTCTGCATACTCCCCGGAGGGACTCTTCTGACTCCACCCAATCACCACGTGAAGTCCTCAGGTAATTTCTCAAGCAGTGTCTCTATTCCAACACCTCTCATCAATGGAAGATCACTGGACATCACCCCAAGTGCCTAGCACCGAGAACTCAACTCAGCTCAGGATCCACTCCCCCTTCCTGATAGTAGCATGCTGGTTATCCTTTGGGGAATCATCTCAGTCTGTGTGAGCTTGTGGGTCTGAACTCACCGCTCCTGGAGGCAGGCTCTCAGTGTGCTCAATTTGTGTGTCCCATGCTCCGGCCATAGCAATCAGGGATGCTCAGGTATGAAAAAGTCCTCTCTGGGACTTTTCTGTAAATTTTAGGAATGAATTCTCTTCCTGCTGAGGTTGCTGATTTTGGTTGTAGGAAGCAATCAGTTTCCTCTCTTGTTCAAGCTAATTTTAAGTGGATTTCTGCCTCCTGCAACAGAAACAATCTTGGTTCTCAGGTTTCTCAGAATTCTGTGCTGGCGTATAGTGAGATAAGGAGAGCTAGCCTCTAGCCATGGGCTTGCAGCTGGTCCTACTCTTTCCTCATTCAGGCTCCAGCCTGCACTCCACCTCACATATATGTATTCGGACCTCTCTCTCACCCCACATCCAAACTCTGGCCACACCTACCCTGCTGAAGACAGCTGTCTATTGGCCACCCTTTGGGCCTGAAGCTGTGCACACTGGTGGCAGCATTGTTGACCTTGTGATGGTCATCAATTTATCTGTAATCCTGCATCTGCTCCCATGGCTCCCTAATCTCAATGGATGACACCACCATTTAGCCAGTTTCTCCAGAGGGAAGTCAGTCTAGACTACTTTCTTGTTATCCTCCATAGCTAAGTCAGACACCAGGACCTTTGGATTAAACTTCACAATTAACTCTCAAGTCTGTGTCTATCCCCATGGCCACTGCCCTAGTTCAGGGCTTATCTCTCACCTGCTTTCAGGTAATATCTTCCACGGCAACTCTTGGCCTCCCACCTCTCCAAACACTTCTCCTTCTATGTCCACCAAGCCACTCCCTAAACTGTGCATGTAAGTTTACTTTGGAGTTAGAATAGGAATAATAAAGAGAGAGGAATAATGTTTATGGTGTGGACAGTAGGTGCCAGGCTCTGTGCCGGCAGCTTTACATGCATCATCTCATTCAGTTTCACAATGACGAGTATATGGACACTGAGGCTTGGAGTTGTTAGGTCATTTGTTCAAAGTTACACATCTGGTCAGCAGGAGAAGTGAAATCTGGATCCAAATCTTCCTGACACTAATTGCCAAGTTTTTCTTTCTCTGCAATCCTATACTGTCCTCTTGACTTATCATTAAAGAGAAAAAAAATTAGGGCCCAGACAGTGGCACAAGTAGTAGAGCGCTAATGTGCAGGGCTGGGGCCACATGGGAGGCCTGGGCTCAGTTCTTGGACCAACTTTAACACACTGGGCATGGCGATGTGTACCTGTAATCCTAGCCAAGTGGGTGGACTGTGGCATGACTAGACCCTGTCAAAAATACCTATCTCGGGCCAGCAGGTGGCATAGCAGTTAAGGCACTGGACTTCCACATGGTTGACTGCCCTTTGAGTCCCAGACCTAATGACTTGAAACTCACACTGGGCACGTGTGTATATGTCACCAAAATTCCAAGAGTAGAGTGGAGGAGAGGGTACTGGGTGTGGTTATTCCCCAGGGGAGTGATTCCTCGCTTTCTGTCTCTCTGGCAAGTGCATGTGCCCTATAGCAAAAATCTCTCTAAAAAAAAAACCCAAAAAGCAAAAGCCAAAAGCAAACCTGTCTCTAGGGACCAGCAGGTGGAGTGGTGGTTAAGGTGCTGGATCCCACACAGCCAACTGCGTGGTTTGAGTTGTGGACCCTGCAGCTTAAAAACCACACCAGGTACGTACATGCGTGTACCCAGAATCGAGCACATGTGCTCTATAGCAAACTAAAAATAAATAAATAATTTCTTACTTGAGCCTTTTCTCTTTGCCCCTGAGAATTGCCATCTATTTAATCTGTTTTAGTTCTATGCTGTGTACATGCCTATATTTTTGTATCCTCACACATTTTATTATAGCTGTTTTTGTATCTCTATAATCCTCACTAGAGTGTTAATGCTTTGAGAAAAGGGCCCACATTTTAGTGTTATTTTTATCCTAGTTCCTAGCAGTGTATGGCCTAGAATAGACATGTGATAGTTGTTGATTGAATAAAAGAATGAACAATCCCACGTTTCTGAAACCTCTTTCCCCACTATTACTTCCTTATTTACTTTTAGGTAGACTGAACAAGGAGCTCACCTGAGGATTTCTTTGTACTGTTGATTCCTTCTTACCAGCTACAAACTTTAGTTCTTTGCACCTATCCCCAGCCCTCCAGCGGCCCAGCATCCTCAGAGTACCACCAGGGGGCAGGGTGTGACCAGGCTGGCCTTGGTCTGCATTTTGTTGCCAGGGCCCTCCTCTGTTAAATGTCTTACACATCCCCTGTAGTTAATGCTTCGTTCGCTGCCCAGATCCCCCTTTTGGGATTGCGGTACTCACTGTCCTAGCCCCTAACTGTTGCTTGCTGACAGCTCACAGATGAGTACTTCCTTGAGTGCTATTTGTGGCTGAAGTCGAACTATCTTGCCAAAGGCAATGCTCCCTTCCAGGGGACAGTATGTATCTAATGACTGGTTGTTTTTTGTTTGTTTGTTTGTTTGTTTGTTTTAGAGGTTTTTGCCCTAGGGCGAGTGCGCTCGCCAAACAGAGAGTGACAGAAAGCGAGAAATCACCTCCCAGGGGGATGGCCATGCTGCAATCCCTTCTCCTCCCGGGATCTTGAGCATGCACGCACACGTGCCCAGCGTGAGTTTTAAGCCACCGGGTCCGGGACACGAACCGTGGTCCACTACGTGGGAGTCCAGCGACATAGCCATTACACTAACTGCTAGTCCCTCTAATGACTGGTTGTTATACAGGTACAAAGGCCTAGTCCCCTTTCCTCAGTTTGGGCAACTCTAAAGGTCCATTCTAGCTCTGGGACCAGCAGTTAGCATAATGGTTATGTCACTGGACTCCCATGTAGTCGACCACGGTTCTAGTCCCAGACCTGGTGGCTTAAAAAATTCAATGCTGGGTGCGTGTATGTATGACCAAGATTCTGAGAGGAGAATGGAGGAGAAGGGATTGCGGCATGGCCATCCCTCCTGGGGGGGGGGGGGGGGTCTCTCTGTCTGTCTGTCTGGCGAGCGCACGTGCCCTATAGCAAAAACCTCTCAAACAAAAAGAAAAGAAAAAAGTCCATCCTAGCTCTAGAGTGCCTGTGGGACCATCTGGTACCAACTGCAGTGTGATCCAACTTTCCCCTCTCCAGTCTCGCTTCTCTTATTCCCTTTGAAAGTCCTCCCTGGCATCTCATTACCCAACTTCAGAATGTATTACAAAGCTGGTGTGACCATCCCCTGAAGGGTGATTTCACATTTTCACTCTCTCTGTCTCTCTTTAGCAGGTATACACACCTTATGGTAAAAACCTTTAAAAAAAAATCAATTTGGACAGCTCTCGCAGACATATGAATGGTTAAAAAGCATTTGAAAAAAATGTTCAGCATCTCCTGTCATGAGGGAAATGCAAATCAAACCATAACAAGGTATCACCTAGTTAGAATGGCTAAGATTAAAATAAAAAACAAGACAGACAACAATTGCTGGCAAAGCTGTGATGAAAAGGGACCTCTGCTGTACTGTTGTTGAGAATATAAACTAGCACAGCCACTGTGGCAAATAATATGGAGATTCCTCAAAAAATTTACAGTAGTTAAGACGTGGATTCAAACTAAATGCACAAAAACTGATGACTGGATTAAGAAAATGTGACACCTACACAATGGAATACTACTCAGTCAGTGAAATCCCATCATTTGTTACAAAGTAGGGGAATCTAGAACATTTAATGCCAAGTGAAATGAGTCAGACTATGAAATACATATTTACCATTTCTGCACTCCTTGGCAGAAATGGAAAGATTTGAAGATACAGAAGTAGAGAGGGCAAACTGTAGATACCGGAGACTGCACAGGGGATGAGGGGCAGGGTGGAGGAGTGGCTTAGAAGCAAAATGTTTAACAGACAAAAATGCTTGTAAACAAAACAAGGCAAGTGGATTATGGACTGGTATACCATGACAGAGTGGGCGATAATAAAGGATGCTGCCAATCAAAAAAACATACAGCCACTCCTCACTTAATGACCTACCCTCAACCGGTTCTCCAGCACAAGTAATCCCCTTTCTCCGTCTGTATGTCTTGGGAATCCCCTTTCTCAGTCTTTTCTTGTTCCCACAGTCAGTTAGAATTTACTGCACAGAGTGTTTGCAATCTCGCGAAACTACAAATTTTGTTTATACATTAGTACTTTGTTGTGCACGCACGATGGTATTCAGAATAAATAAAAATGATTGTGCTAGATTGACATTGCTGTGTTGTGGTTGTCTTGTCACTTTCTAGTGCTTATTGAATGTATACTTTTTCTATGGTTAGGATTACATTATTCTAGTGTGGTATCACCTGATATCTATTGAAAAAGACATAACCTACGGCACCATGACTTACCACAAGACATCAGTCTTTAAGTTTCTCACTTATTGACTAATTTGCTTAACAACCTACTTCTAGAAACAGAATTTAGTTAAGTGAGACATGCCCGTATCAAAAACCAAAACCAAAACCTAGTAGAATGAAAATAGAAGGTTTACAGCAATAATGTAATGTTCTTTGTTGAAGATGATGAATATGGTAATAACCTTCGTTTGCTCATCACACACGACATGCATGCTTTGAAAAACTATATTTTATCTCACAAAGGTGTACAATGATTAAGTGTAAATAAGAAATGAGAGGGCCAGCCAGTGATGTGGTGGGTAAGGCAGCTGGATCCCACATAGCTGACTTTGTGGTTTGATTCCCAGGCCCAACAGCTTGTAAAATGCACCAGGTGCATGTGCTTGTGTGCCCAGAATCCCAGCAGGAGAATGGAGGAGGAGAGATTGCA